TCTGCGAAAACTTCGTTGACCTTTGGAGACATCATTAATATAAATAATTTTTATGGCCGTTAAATAAGAAATGTTTCTTTCACAAGAAATGTATAAAATTACAGTACTAAACAGACGATAGGTCGCCTAACTCGCCGTAGCGTGACGCTAGACGGCGAAAAATATATATTTAATTATAATAAAGTTACAATAAATTAAGTTAATATATAATTATATATACAGTACCTAATTTATATATAATTAATATATAATTATATGTACAGTACCTAATTTATATATAATTTATATAATACTGTCCAGACGATAGAAATCTCTCCGTAGCGTGGCGCTACGGACGGCGGGAAAGTAGTTCGGCTGCCCGATGACGTTTTACGTATTATAGGAGTTATTTTTACCGTTGTTTACGGATACTGCCACAATTTTTATAGGAATCATAACTATAGGAAACGGTTTTATAGGGGGATCTACTGTACTGCCACAATTTTTATAGGAATCATAACTATAGGAAACGGTTTTATAGGGGGATCTACTGTAGTATATTAATGTTAGAAGGAGATGTAAAGTTGAATTATCTTTTCAACATTCAGAATGATTTTATCTCATAATTTTAATAGTTGATTATTACATGATAAATTTAATTCTTTCTATTATCCAATGAATTAATCTATTTATTAGTGTATGACTAAATACTTTCCTGAAATTAGTTAAGAGCTAGTGGTCATAGCAGTTAAGGAAAATACATAAATTAACATTATTTACTCTCATTTATTATTATATGATTAACCCTCTTTTATTGAAGTTAGAAATTTTTGCTGTTTTGTTCATAATTATTTTGAATTTTAAAAGTTAATTTCATGTAATTACACATTAAAAATAAAGCTATTAATGTATAAAATAATGTTACATATTAAATAATGTATAAAATCAAGGGAAAAAGTTTCATTAAGATTAAAGATCTTGAGATAGAATGTTTTATATACATGTCTAGTTTGTATACTTTTACAAACTCTTAATTTATTTAAAATATATAAACCATATTAAAAACTAATTTTGCATTTAATTCTGATATAATATAAGCTGGAAAATAAAATGGAACTTTTATTTTGAATATTTCCATTGCTTTATTTTATCATTTTATAAAGGACTCTAAAAATGAATTTAAATAGCATGTAATTAATTTAAAAGTTTCTAATTTGATAGGAATATAATATAAATATGTTGGCAGTTTAACTTCTGTTCAGAATTTCAATAACAGCAATGGAACTGCATATGTTACATATTCTAAATATTTGTTTCTTTCTTTAGGCATTTCCTCTCCACATTCTTCTGACATTTCTGTATTGTTTTGGCAATGATGTTATATCTGAAGAAGTATTTCGGCTGATGTTGGAGTTACTACAACACAAACACTCTGACTTTAGTGTTCTGGTGAATCTCCTGTTTCCCAAGGCTTCTTTTTAACACGTTAACCGCCATACAACATGCTGGTGGTCGTACTAATTACAGCTGTACAGAGTCATAAATTCGCCAGCGGTCGTAGTAATTAGGGCCGTTCAGAGCCATAAGATGCACTGGCGGTCAGAGCCAACTTTATAGATGTGCGCGAGAGGCCATCACTAGGATGTAAAACAATGTCTTACGAAGCCAGGATAATTTAACCTTGAGTGAAACTACATTGGTTATTGTAACATTGGGCGGTCGGATGGCTTTGTACAGCCCTAATTAGTACGACTGCTGGTACATTGGATGGCTGTTAACGTGTTAAAGGGCCAAACAGGCGATAATTGCATTTTGACAGATATGGTTGTTTGGTTGGTGCCATACTTTGACACCAACCAAAAGACAATACATTGCATAAGCCTTGTTGCCAAAATAATTCAGAAGTGTCAGTATTGAGAGGGAATATCTAGAGAAAGAAACAAATTATGACTATGTAACACAGTTTCATTGCAAGTACTGAAATTCTGAACGGAAGTTGAACTGCCCTTGTACAATCAAATATAAAATTTATAGATGATGAATTGAAAAAAATTATATAAGTAATGATGATGATAATTCTACTTTTAATAAATTATAATTTATTTATAGAATATTATTAATGAAAAGTTAAATATATAGTAGATTAAAAGTAAGCAAATGTATGTGATAAAATTTTTAATTTAATTTAATAAATATGATTACCATAATAATAGCAAAATAATGAAATACATTGTTTAAACACACTAACTTTAAGAACATTAACAATAATTAACATTAATCTTGGTGGTGGTAAATATATAATTGATAATTAATACATTTTAATAAATTTGTAATTTAAAAAAATTATTTTTACTTATAAATATTATTTGTATATTTTAAGATTGTGGATGCAGAAATATTTTTGATTATTACTGTTGAAATGCTGTATCTTTGACTTTTTCAGAACCGAATCCTCCGATTGACGAAGTTATACAGACGGGAATCATTCCGAAATTTGTTGAATTTTTACAAAAAAACGACAATTGTACATTACAGGTAAGATAAAATATATTTTTAATTCTAGAACATGGGCTGACCACAAAATTTTTTTTATCTGATGGTCCAGAATCTACAAGACCCATCAGTGGCCTAGTGAAATAAACCATTGAAAACTGGTAGTTGATAATGGGTTTGTGCTTCACCAACAGGCTGTCCACATGGGAGTTTTTGAAGTTTACTTCATGTGTTTAACACTAAATAGGAGTCAGTTTCCTATCAAAAGTTTCAGAAGTCATCCACCTTGGCAGATCGCTTGTGTGTTTGCATTTCTCTTTCATCAAACCAACCAAATAAATCAACTTTAAAAACATGTAAATTATCAAAGATTTATGATATAAATTTGAAAAGTAAAATGAAACTTTGTTTCGAGTATTTCCAATGCTTTCATTATTATTATACTAGTCCACTGGATGGCCAAAGATGAGTGTGTGTTCACTTAGATTGTCTACGACAATAAGATTCTTTTATTGTTGTCAACAACTCAACAACAACTGTTGATGGTTCTTCTATTTTATTCAACTTTTACCTCAGTTTATTTTAATATTAGTTAGGATTAAATGTAAAAAAAGATGCAAATGTCACTTAGTGTAAACATCTCGTATTTAATATATGTTTAATTCAAGTTTCTGGCAGTTCATAATGTTTTAGAAATATAAAAGATATATAATTAGTGTTATACTGACTATACTGACATTCAGAGTATACTGTTAATTTATTATGTGACTTTGGCTGGGCCAGAAAAACTATTAATTAAGCAAAACTATGAAACCAGGTGTGCTCAAAGCTTTATACAAGGTTTTGCTGTATATTAATTCAATGTTAATGTTATATATATATATTATACAATTAATAATTTTATATTATTTGCAAAAGAAATTCTTTTGAGATACAGTTATATTTTGTTTATTTAATCAAATAAAAATTCAGTTCTCTATGTTTTTTTTCTTTTAATAACTTTTGAATTATTTGTTTTTGGAAAATCTGCTTTGTTTCTTACCATTGATTTTAAATATTATTAAATTTGAATTGCGTAACAGAAAGGTATAGATTTTTAAAAATTTAATATGAGGTCTCAAAATTTTTTATTTAACTAGTTTATATGGAATTAAAATCTGGAAGAATTTAAAGTATTTTGAAGTTGAAAAATTGCTTTAAAAAATATTTTCTAACTTCAAATTATTTGATCTTGGACCAGCTAAATTATTTGGTGAAACTTAAATCCTTGAGGTCAGTTTACAGTCCAGTAGCAGTTTGGTACTACGACAGTGGAGTTTGAAGGGATATGAAGAAACTGTATATGCTCATGTCTGATCTAGTGACACAACTTCAAAGTTGAATGATGTTCAACTTTAATGTTTGAGACCAACTGTGTCAAGTTAGCCACTATCCACAGTTTGATGATAAATCAGATGATCTTTCCAACTCCAGCTGCAGTTAGCAACCTCAAAATTCCATGCTGACATTGGATTATAAAGCAATCTTTATAGTAGCATTTTGTAATTTGAAATACCTATTTTGAGATTTAAATCTTCATATTCTAAGTTAATCTTAAAAGACAATATTCTGATTTACTATCTGATAGGAGAAATACTTTTACATATAATTATAAATATAGCAGACTGCCTTCATGATCTGATTTGGTTTCTGAAAGCCATCATAGAGCAACCTGTCATATGTTTTATATAAGGTCAGTGTCATATATTGAAGTTATCTTGCTGAAAATACCATATTTTTATTTTTAATTATCACAGAAAATTTATAGTAGCCATAAGGTGAAGCATAACACAGACACAACAATAATAATAAAAAAAAGTAATTTAAAAGAATTGTCAATTTAAATAGTAGTAATTATAAAGAATATTCATATGTACAGGTGTACTGCAGGTTACACCTGTAGGTACACCTGTACATACAAACACAATAAACAAACCACAGATACAATCATTGTATATTTCTACTCCTACTACAATTTGATTTCGCTATTCTCATCAATACGATCCATTCTTTGTCCATTCCTGGTATTGCTATCTGTTTTTGTGTTGTGTGTCTGGGTATCCAGGTGGTGAAAACCAAAAATGTGTGCGAGTTTTAAGAAAAGTTGACAAATCATCAATAATTAGTTATTTTTTAATGATATAGCTAATTATATAACCGATGAACAGTTTGATAATTTAATTAGTAAGTCATTTATAATAACATTCCAGAGTAGAAGTCCAGATACTGGGCCTTAAAATCCTCTTTTATTTAGGGAACAGGTTTTTTTTTCTTAAAAAAAATCCAATTTTGATCTTATCTGTTTTGTCTTTTAAGAAATCCTTGAGCAAGTAGAAAATATTTTGTGGTACTTTGGTATCTCTGGTAAGTTTTAAAATTGAGGGCCACCAGACATTGTCAAATATGCCTTTGATATCAAGAGAGATATCAATCTCTTCTTTCCTTGCTGTAGAGTATCATACAATATAACAAGGGCATCCACTGCAGAACACTGGGGCATGAAACAATATTGGTCATTGCTCAAAAACTTTCCATGAGGTGAAACGTTTCTTTAAATAAAAAAAATGCATGGGAAATGGTAATTCATGATACAACCATTCACAATACATCTACTACTTAATGGAACATGTTATGTATGTACACCTGTAGTTACTTTCACAAATTAATTTTTTCACAACTTTATAGCAATTTTCATTGTTAAATTGTTTTTTTTTTTTTCTTTTCAGTTTGAAGCGGCTTGGGCTCTTACTAATATTGCTTCTGGTACGTCGCTTCAGACAAGAATTGTTATCGAAGCAGGAGCTGTACCCATATTTATCCGTCTACTTGATTCCGAATATGAAGATGTACAAGAACAGGTACATTTGTTAATAAATATTAGATATTAATCTTTCTAAAATTATATACAATCACTTCAAACTATTCATTTCAAGCTCTTTAAGAAAATTAGAAAACTTAGAAGCATAAACTACTAGTGGAAACTGAAAGATTTCATATGCTTTGCATTTAGAATTTTCTTTTATCTGTCTATCAAATCTATTATATTAGAATTAAGCAAATTCTATTTGGATGCTTTTAATATAGAATTAACATCAATCTTTGTTGAAGAAAAGCATTTTTTTGTAAATACTTTCCTTCTTGAAATCATATCATAACTTAACCCATTGTTCCAATATAATATTGTTATTTCTAGTGATTCATAATGTCTTGATCAAAAGAATAAATTCTTATATTTTTAAAGAAACATTTTATAGCTTTAATTCTTCTGAAAATTATTGTAGCTAAAAGTCTTTCCTAAGGAAGAAAGATGTTTAATTAATGAATTGGCAGATTTTGTATATTTTATTATCTTTTCATCTAACAGTAACTATCAAAATGTAACTAAGGTGGCACATCTTACCTTCTATTGCTTCTATGAAAAATATATATAAATATGACAGAATCCCAATTATTTGAGGTTCTGTGTTATCTGAGAAAAACGTATTATAAGTGAATACAACACTCTATGTATAACTGTACAGTGGAACCTCGCTTAACAAGCACCTCTCACAATGAGTAATTTGCGTAACAAGCAAAACAAATTTAGAAAAAAATGAATTGCTTAACGAATGACGCTTTGCATAGCGAGTGACAGGGAGAGGGAAAGTCCTGGATTGTGTGCATGCTACAACAGTCTGTTCTTAACACTCGTTTTGCTAGCATCTTAGTGTCGCTTGTGATCACAATTTTTTCAAACTTGTGTTCAGACATATTACATATAAACATCAATAACCATAGCCCGTTATATAATAAACACACCAAACGATATATCAAATTTTTGGGTTACGTAAAGGCTATAATTAAATATTAAAAATTAATTTTTTTCAAACTTGTGTTCAGACATATTACATATAAACATCAACAACCCTAGCCCGTTATATAATAAACACACCAAACAATATATCAAATTTTTGGGTTACGTAAAGGCTATAATTAAATATTAAAAATTAATTAATTTGACTAGAGGTTGGCAGTTANTCAAGCTCTTTAAGAAAATTAGAAAACTTAGAAGCATAAACTACTAGTGGAAACTGAAAGATTTCATATGCTTTGCATTTAGAATTTTCTTTTATGTACAGTGGAACCTCGCTTAACAAGCACCTCTCACAATGAGTAATTTGCATAACAAGCAAAACAAATTGTAAAAAAAAATGACTTGCTTAACAAACGACACTTTGCATAACGAGTGACAGGGAGAGGGGAAAGTCCTGGATTGTATGTATGATACAACAGTCTGTGTTTAATATTCATTTTGCTAGCATCTTAGTGTCGCTTGTGATCACACATTTTTTTCAAACTTGTGTTCAGACATATTACATATAAACATCAACAACCCTAGCCCGTTATATAATAAACACACCAAACAATATATCAAATTTTTGGGTTACGTAAAGGCTATAATTAAATATTAAAAATTAATTAATTTGACTAGAGGTAGGCAGTTATGCTGCCATCTCGTATTAAATTTAATGACCAATTCCAAATTAAATTCCAGAAATCTCTAAATAGTTTTATTTGAATAAATGTTACACATAAGATATTTGAGTGTTTTTTGGGGGGCATGGAATACATTATCATATTTCACATTAATTTATGTGGGAAAAATTGTTTTGCTTAACAAATTTTTCGCATTACGAGTAAGATTCTAGAATGAATTCTGCTCGTTAAGCAAGGTTCAACTGTAATTCATAAAAGGGAGTTTGATATCTTTAAAGCAATAGTGTCAGAACAGTATGGCTGTTATTACAACGCATGCTGGGAATTTAGTTTAGGCGATATGAGTGATTTGTGACTCATTTTGCATCTCTGATTCTTCTTGCACTGCAGGCATGGCAAATGGGGATGAGAAGTATTCTGTGAGTCAATAGGTGGAACTCACTGCTATATTCTGCCAGAATCTGCCAGTGCAGTCCAAGCCACTGGTGATTTGTATAGCCTCTGCAGGGATGCAGATACAAATATGCATTTATGTGAAAATTGAAAAATTACATGTGAAAATTTTTCTTTTGTAATGAGAGAAATCATTATTTTACCAGATAAAAGTTAAGATCACTGTTTGTTGATGTTAATAAACTTTAATAATTAAAACACAAAAACCACACAAGTACTTCTGACATTTACAGAATGCCATCTTCAGGCAAATAGAAATGTGAGAATACGAGCAAGGGTTAGCCCTCTAATTGTTGAGCCATGAGACCCGCTCATTTTGTCAGTGGATGGCAAAATTTATAAATTGCCGTTGGGTTCGTAAGATCTTTCCAACATCAGGACCCAACGCCAGCTAGGATAAGAATTCACATCTTAACTCGCGATATTCAGATCTATATTTAAAAGGAGGACTGTATAATTATTGAGTGGGGAAGTCCAGGTAAGCTCCAATCGTAGGCAGTTTGTATATTCATATTCGACCAAGTGAACAGACAGGTTAACAAATAACTAACAAAAGTTTAATGAATAAAATAAAGAAATACATAAAAGAATAATCTATTGTTATATCGATGCCTAACTATGTACACCTCTAAATACGGAGAGCGAGTTTACAAAAGGTTCTAATTATAATTCCTCTGGGCTAGTTGATTCGTTTTAGTTGATGTAATCCAAATGATATGTGGAGATGTTTTTTTGATATTGAGTCGGAGGAGGGCTTGAGAGTAGAGAGATGGACTTCAGCTATGCAGGAATTTTCTTATGGCTGTCGTCTTCTATGTCTCCTCTTCCTCGGGTCGTCTCCCTTGATGGTCATCCTGGTTATTGTCGTTGGCTCCCGACCATTATGGCAGTTTTTAATTATTGTGGACTGCCCTGAGAATATGATTTCTCTCCTTTTATTCTAAATTTCTCTCCAATTGGGTTTCGGTATTTGTAACATCTGACAGGATACATTTCTGACACAGAGGGACAGTTGTTCATCGGAGATGTGTGATAACATCTCTCCCAAAGGAAGTTTTATTTCCTTTTCCCATGAAAAGTGACAAAATGTATCATTTTTTATGTTAAAATGTTGCTTTAAATTGTTGATGAATTGAAAAATTTTTTAACTGATTATATAAAACTATTTTCTACTCTCAAATTCTCACAGAAACAAATTTTAGAACATTTATAAAATTTTAAATTTAATGTTAACATGTTTTAATTGGAACATGTGTTAAAATTGAATAGTATATTATTAATTATACATCAAATTCAAGGTCGAAACTGAAACATAATTATTCATGGTCAGGAGTTAATTTTTTTAAAACATTGAATAGCAGAACCCACATTCTTGGGAGCTCTAGAGTTGGCTTATTACAAGGCTCCAATTTCTCAATAAATAACGCCTCCCAAATAAATAAATAAATAAAAATAAATGATTGCAACATACTCTATTGATTGGTGTGCTTGCATACTTATCAGATAATAATTAACATAATTACAGTAATTTATTTTGGAAAACCCTGCATGTATATACTGTTTATGAAATCTGAACTGAACCTAGACACTAATTTCAATTTAATAATTTTTGTATTAATTCATATGTTGATTTAAATAATTCAATGATTTTTATATTATATTTCTTAATGTTACAGGCTGTGTGGGCTTTAGGAAATATTGCAGGTGATAGTCCAGAATGCAGAGATTATGTTTTATCTCAAGGAATTTTGATGCCTCTGTTACAGTAAGTTATTTATGGAATGTCTTTTTTAAAAGAAAATATTAAAATTCTATATTAAAGCTTAATGTGAGATGTTATAATGCTATTATTAAGATTAATTTATTTTTTAAAATGTTTTAAAATAGATTATTAAGTAAATCGTCAAGAATATCTATGACAAGAAATGCAGTATGGGCTCTTTCTAATTTATGTAGAGGAAAAAATCCTTCTCCAAAATTCGAAGAGGTGAGTATTGTTACACAAAACATTGACTTTGCAAACTGTTTATTTGATCAGTAATCAATTATTGAGTGTAAAATAAATTGTCAAAAGAGAGACTTTATTGAAATGCTTGCGATTAATTATCACACCATCATCAGGCGAATGGAATGATTCTGTTCACCTGATGATGGTGTGTTAATTATCAAAAGTACTGCGATTAAAGTGTGTCAATTGTAATTTTTGTTCCTGGAGACTTAATGAGTAGATCTTGGTGTGGCTTAACATTAACTCCAGTAATCAATTTTTTTAGTTTATTATGGCATTATAGCAGAATATTATTTCAAATTAAGTGCTTGAAAAATTAGTACTGTATTGAAACAAAATAAATGTGTTTTTTAATTAATTAAAATTATATGTAGTTAGTTTGGGTTTATTTAGATATTTTTTCTTATCAACAATAAAACATTTTCTTTTTAAATGGCTGACAAATTTACTTTAATAAAATATGTAGAAAGACTAAAATGTCTACACTTTTGCCGTGTTTAATCACCAGGAACAACAGTCGTTCATTGTAGAGATGACCTTTTATTAGAGATCACGCCTGTGCGAAAGCATGCAAAATAGTCTAAAAATTCCCTAGTGACAAGCCAAACAATTAAAAAATACAATATTTCTTTTAAAAATGGCTGATGAGTTTACATTAATAAAACATTTTGTCAACATTATCAGATCTGCTTTTAATTAAAAAGGTAGAGGTAGATGAAGGAATAATATCTTCAGAGATTCTTGTTACTTTTGATTACATAGGAGAACATATGATCTGATATAATTTCATGTCTTCAATAGATGTTTCTACTGTAAAAATTTGCATATATAAATTTCATTAGTGCCCTGTACTAATGAAAGTTATATATACAGTAGACCCCCTATAACACAGGTTCATATAATATGGATTCGTATAACATGGCAGAAAAATTGCAATCATGTTTGTATAAACACGCTAAAAGAGACCCGTATAATACTGTTGAACGTCATTGCCAACTTGTGTCGCGACAGGATTGGTCGAATCTAGACCAATAGTGGATATTGCACAAACCATTGATTTTAAACGAGCAGCAGACCTACTAAAAACCATTTATTATTTAACGGCCATAAAAATTATATTTATATTAATGATGTCTCCAAAGTTTGGCGAATTTTTCGCAGAAAAATAACTTATCAGGAAACATGCGCCCGCCGTTCAATGCACCGCTCTGCATCAAAAACAAGCTTAAGCAATGGCGTCGTCGAATGGTGCGTGGTGCACACTCGGTAAGTAATCCTACAATTTTTGTGGCTGGTGGGTTATTTTTTCTTATTTTACTATCATCAAACTATCATCGCTAATATCCATTCTTGAAGTGATTTTTTTCACTATTGGTCCTTGATTCAATAGTGCCACAATAGTTTGCTGTTGTCATAAACTCTGTGAACTCATTATGATTCCTAAGAAGCTAAACAGTGTTAGTTACCAGAAAACAGATGATAATTCTATTATGTAATACTTATCAGTCGCAGGTTCCAAAATCCTCTACAAAGTGATGACAAAATGATTTTCCAGATTAGTGATAGTGTAAATGCAAAGAACAGCATGTTTGAGTGTTATAGTGTATTAGGGAAGAGTGTTGAAACTCCTCCTTTTTACACTATATTAGCCTACTGATTTGCATGGTACTTCATCATTAGTTCATTTTGTATGCAAATATTTGTGGATCGTTTCATCATGCAAACATTTTTTCAGTCAATGTACTTAAGATTTTTAGCAGTTACTTGATGCTCTTCATATTGACCAAATCCCTTTTCATATGAACTGTAAATTATGTATACTTTATATCAGATTCTAAAAGGTATTATGGGTAGGATCTTTATGAAATTATATGCTTTTACCATATTATATCGTATGCAATATCCATATTTCAGTTCTAGCATACTGATAGTTACTGTATATTTGAGGATAAATTTTGAGCCTGGCTTACACAAACCTTGTTACAATATGAGCCATAAACCATGTACCAATGTATCAAAATACATGAGAGTCTCATCCTGTATGGGAACAGTCTTATATTTAGTCTATATTTATATAAGTTATATATAAAATAGCATAAAAGTTGGACTTTGACCTTTAAGTGATAAGAGATATGGGTTTGATATACGGGAGCCACAATAACTGTCTAGAAGAGTCGTAGTTTGGCCACCATGGACTTACATGCTGGCATGACATGCAAAAATTAGTCAGAAATGACATCCGATAGAAAAATAATTTCAAAATTTTTTAAGTATTATTTTTGACATTGTATGTATGTCTCTTTTATCATCGTTGGTAAAGAAAACAAGGCAGATATTTCCGAATAAGTAAATTTTATTTTGTTTTTCCAATATACATTTAAACATTAAACTTTTATTAAGAAATTTTTGTTGTGAGGTTTAAAAACCTTTTATGTAAAATAACAATATAAGATCTGTGTAATAATCTTAGTCAGCAATTTTTTAAAATTTACATAGATTCCTTAAAAATGAATAATCAAAAATGACGTTGAACCAGCAACTACAGTTAATTTAATGAAGTAAGCAGTTTACTTTTGCCAGTGGATAATGTTGTAGAAATGATAACATTTTCAACCTTGTTAATGGGCCATCTTTAGATATTATCAAATATAGAAGAAGAAAACTTTTTCTGTCAGTTCAACCTAAAAATGGCCTGCTAATCATGTGAAAAAAATTAGTGTTTCTACAGCAATATTCACTGGTAAACGTGTGTTCCTTGCTTATAGCAAAAATATCTTTTTGCAGCTAAAAAAAAATTACAATGATATAACAAAAGGTATTCAGTAAAGTTAAAATATTAGAAATACATGAACATCAAATGTCACTATTATATATATATATAAACGTATGTATGTATGTATGTATAAATACATTTATTATTATTATTATTTTTTAGAATGAAATATGGTTCAGGCTACATTCAATTACACGTGATTATTTTTGCAGGGAGGTAATGAGTATTTTGCATTTTTGTTTACTGTATCCCTATTAAAAGACAGTTATAATAGGATATCAAGTGTACCAATAAACAGTCAATTGATAGAGAAATGGTTAATGCTAATACACATAAACTTGAAAATTATCTGTAGATGATAATTTTCACTGGACTTATCAGATTTCTGTGTTGCTGCTAAGTCTTTATGTTAGACTGATAGAACTTGTATTATTTTCTGCATTTCTTTTCTCAATTATTACATTAAAATAATATGCTTTTTAAACAGTATAACTTCTTACATTCTGAAGTTTTTGTTCTATCTTTTCATCTGAAGCAATCTTTTCACATACAGCAATTTGAATTGGAGATATACTGGCTGGAATAAATGTTCTATTCCTGTTTCAGATTGGTTTTACTCATAATTAATAATAATTTTATTTATTTAGGGAAGAGAGATTTCATTTTTATACAACAATATAGATAAATAACAAACTATTAAAGATGTGGATTATATGTTTTGACTTTTTCATATAGACATTTGGGTTTTGTGTTGGAGTTTATACTTTGAATATTTCTTGTTTGTTAAATAATTTTACTCCTTCAACTAATATCTATTTTTTTTTATTCATTTAGGTTTCTCCATGCTTACCAGTTTTAGCCAGATTACTTTTTCAAAACGATCCCGACGTATTAGCCGATGGCTGTTGGGCTTTATCTTATCTATCAGACGGTCCAAATGAGAAAATACAAGCTGTTATCGATGCCGGCGTTTGTAGACGATTAGTAGAATTATTAATGTACGTACATTTTATTTAACATATCAAAGTATAAGCATTTCAAATAGGAGACGGTTGTATAAGAGTACTGTGTTACAGGCATTCGAATCATAATGTAGTATCTGCGGCATTACGAGCTGTAGGTAATATAGTGACGGGAGACGATATCCAAACTCAAGTAATATTAAATTGTAATGCCTTGCCTTGCCTTTTGCATTTATTGTCTTCTCCAAAAGAATCCATCCGCAAAGAAGCATGTTGGACAATTTCAAATATAACTGCTGGAAACAGGCAACAAATTCAGGTAAAAAAATCAAATGTATATTTAATAAAAAAAAATGTAACTCGCATTAATATCGATAAGAATTTTAATAGTATTTTATTTTGAAATTTCAAACGAAATTTTAGGCTGTGATTGATGCCAATATTTTTCCCGTCCTCATTGAAATTTTGGGTAAAGCCGAATTTAAAACAAAAAAAGAAGCTACTTGGGCTATTACAAATACTACATCTGGTGGATCGCCCGAACAAGTTAGGTAGGTTCCTACACTTTTGGTTTAATTAAAATTTAAGAAATATTGGAATTAGTATAAGAATAATTTGTGAATTCCAGTAGATCGTTAACATGAAGCTTAACTTATTTTACAATTTCTATGTTACATTATTTTGTTTCAATATTCAGACATTATGGATTTCTTTCCAAAATTAATACAGTTAACCGTCATTTGACATTACAGATTTTATTTTATAATTGAAATTGCTTCATTCAGAAAACACAGAAAAACTTAAAAAATTGATAGTAATGTTATAGTTATATATTTTTGTAAACTAGATAACTTATTCGCATGCTAACAGGATTAATTTTAACAAAAAATCAAAATAATACTATAAACAGAAACTGGGTATTTTTGATTGTGTGGCAAAATTTCTATTCTTGGAGTAAGATGTTACATAAACAATACATGCTGCATGAATATCTTTGTTATAGTTCAGATAACCTAAATTGACAATGATTGAAAACAATTCATACTGATTTGCTTATTAGCTTTTATAACTGTGGACTATTCATTAAAATGACCAGATAGTTGAGTGCTTAAGGTGGCATTCCACATGTTTGGAGCCCTGGATAGGTCGAAAAACCCTAGAAATTTTTTAGGGATGGTCCGTCCGGATGTGTCCCATTCCTTGCCATCCAGTTGCTTCATTGTGGGTTGTGCTTGAGCCTATGATGTGCTTGCTAAAAAGACCCTGTTAGTGTCTTCAGGGTAGAAAAAGCTAAAAAAAAAAAAAAAAACTATTAAAGTTTGAATGGGTTTGCAATTTAGAAGGAATTGGACCCATTTAGTAAGTTACATTGATCACAACTTTGCAATTGAGTTATTTTGATAATATAATAATAATTGTCAATAAGATTTAATTTTTTAGTGAATAAAATTGTGGAGAATCACTTAATCTCTGTTAAATGGCTGCAGAAAATACCAGCTGGTCATCAAAAATATCAGTTATTCTCTGAAATAAATCTGTAAAACATAATTTTTAAAATATATATATATAAACATGATCTCGTTCAATATCTCTACATATTCTCTATCACACATTTAACTATTTAATTGAAATTAAACACACAAATTGACGTAAGAAATGATAAAATGTTCTTCCGGTAATGAATGACTTTATTCCAAAGCATTTAATCTGTTATTTATTTGAAAGAAATTACTTATAATGGGATGTTATAACTTGTGATATGTAAAACACCTTTACTACTTGAGAGAATATTAATGTAACTTGAAGCATGAATCTGTTTTTTACTAATTTTTGTAATTATCACAAAATAACCATCAGAATGACATGAGCTATTCTGAAAATTGTCCAGTATTTTTTAGATATTAATATTGCTATTATTATTATTTGTGTACTATTATTATTTCTTACATAGCTTACATGGGGAGGCTCAGATTGGTTCCTTTAAACTTCAACAAGTTTGATATAACTTATAATACTACCCTGCCATAAATCAATAATAAAGCCACTCGACACAACTCTTAAGTATTCTCAAGAAAAACAAGTTAAAATTTTTCATATTTGTTATAACCAAGTCTCAAGAGTGTTTTTTCAGTGAGTGGCGTAGGGCATAAGGTCACTAACTACTGATCTCCGGATGATATTTGTGCAGGTTTGAACTTTACTTTTTTAAAAGTTTATTTTTTTATTCTTTTTAAAATTTATATTCAATTGGAACATACTTTTAACAAGAAAAATTATATATTAAAAATTTCAAACAATTTTTTGGTTGTACAAAGGATTTTTATTTTTACGTTGTATTTGTTGAAAATGCGTGTAAAAATAAAGGAATAACAACTTGATTAGATACATGTTTCCAGCCATCTTTATTAATCTGTCTTTTTTTGTACACTATTTAAAAGAAAAAGAATTGTAACATGACCTGAATTGATACACAAAGAATATATGACAAAAAGAAATGCCTGTGATAAAAATTACACATAATAGTAATGTTACAAGTGCAAACTGTGCACGGCAGCTTTGTATTTGTTGGAAGTGCAACCATTGCAACAGTATCGTATACTCCTGGTGATTCTGTAGTTTGGTAGTACGAGTGCTAGCTGTTAGATGTACAGTAATATGTCAGGACTCAGTTATAACGAATACAGAAAACTGTAGACTTGTTTTTCTCATGAATGTTTGAGAGTTGTGTCAAATGGTTTTATTATTGATTTATAGAAGGATAGTTTACAATATATATCAAACTTGTTAAAATCTGAGGTGGGACAATACTGAGCCTCCTGTTGTTTGTACTACTGTATTTGGAAATAACAAAGTTCTAGAATTAGATAAAAATAAATGCAAGTAAAATATATTTAAATAATTATTTAATAAGGAAATTGATCCAGAAATATGTAAGAAATCTTTTCAGTTTAACTTTAAGAGTGGAACAATTTTACTAATTATAACAGTGTTCTTTATTAAAAATTTAGTTTATTATTTAAAAATACATATTCTTTAAATAACAATTAAAAAATTTTAATTATAACTAAATAATGTACTGGTACATAATATTAATAGCATTATATGATAAATTAACCCTATGACGATCACGCATGAATAATTGTAGAATACTGTTTTCTATTATGTTAACTTCTGTTAAATTTATCTTTTAGTCATAACATTTTACCCGAGTTCAAATAAAGTTATATTTGTAATGTCATTTCTTCAAAAAAAGCTAACAGTTGGAATGCTATATTTCTTTGCAAACTGTTTTTTCTCTGATTGTGAAGTTTGATGTTAGTTCATTGAATATAAACTAATAGATTATATGAAGAATATTAATTTTTTAAAATAAATACTATAAATTTATTAACCATTTTTAATATTTTATTGACTTAAAAAACTTTCCTTACATGGTGGAGAAATGCAGATAAAATATGATATAAATTTGTGTTCATTATACATTGTCTTCAAAAAAAGAATGCTACCATTTTAAATTATTGTAATTATGTTACTTATTATACCAAGAATGTCTTAACATGTATTAAAACATTGGGAAAACTGTCCAAGTTTCATGCTGCCTGTTAAGATTTCTCAATACATGCACCTATTGTCTCACAGCTCAAGTCTAGCCGATACTTAGCTTCTTCCTATGCTTGTTATGGCATATCTGTCATCGCTCCTCCCACAGCAACTGCAATTCTGCAGTTCCTGCAGATTACTCGTGTTGCACAATGATCAATGATTCTGACTTTCTAGGATAATTTTTGCCTTTTTAAAACACAAAATGCTTCTCTATTGCGGTGTCACCATTTTCATTTACGGCGCTTCTTAGAAGAGGTAGATCACAAGATGTTTGATTGCAGGCGAGAAACGGACCTCGGGCAGTTACTATATCGATTGATGTACATCACAAATTTCTCAGGTAATAATCAGCACAATTAACTGAAGTAGCCTGTGTTTTATGTCACAAAATTAACACGTTTATATTTTTCAATTAATTAAATTATTTGTAAAATATAGATTCTGCTATTTATAAATAACAGTTTTAAGAAGAATTGTATAACAATTGTTATCTGGTAAGGTTTATAAAGGAAAGAGTTTTTCTGTTAGAAGAGTATTTTTACTTTTCCTAGATGATATGAATAATTTTTTCCCATTACATTAGGTAGAAAGGAAAATGTGGAAATAGTTTCATTTTAAAAAGTTTATAAATTGAAACTTGAACAAAAGCTTCACATTTGGAAAAAAGTAAAGAATGCAGCACAGAGAAGAAGTAAACTATATAAATATTCGGCAAAGTATAGTAAATTGATTGTATAATCTACACAACATTCAGTTTTTAACGACACAAAAAGTTTTTACTTTGTTTATTCTTTATTTTCTTATTAAAATTTAATAGAGTATTTTCAGAATTGTACTTATGACATTTTTTGTAAATAATAAAAGAAATATTAGTTTTTTTATTCAAATTAAAAAGCTATTTATAAACCTTAAAGGTAAACTTTGACAAAAAAAATATGTAAAATAGAACTAGTTTGCTATCTGCTTGCAGAAAGTTACTGATTTTAATGAAAAAATGTTATTGTGAAGATGAAGCCGAGTTTTATTTTATATATTACTTGATTTTTATCAGTTAATGCTGAAATTATCTTCTCAGAAGTATATATAAAATGATGAAAATACAAATTACGATAACTTACAAGAAAATAATAATAATAAAAGAAGAAAGTTTCAATAGTACAAAACAGAAATAACATTAAAAAATCAGTATTGTGCTAATTGTATTTATGTACTAATTTAAACCTGTATGAAACTGTAATAAATTCAAAATTTTATCCAATAATAAACGATATAAATCAGAAAATTGATAAAAATTTAAATACAGTAGAGAGTCGTTTATCCGAAAGTCGGTTATCCGAAAGAATTCCAGTTTGCAAATTTAAATTTTTGCTAGTGCTGTGGCGCTGCAATCTTTGACTATGTCTTGGGCTACTCAAATATTTTATGTTTTTGATACTAAATTAAGTTCTGAAGTATAATTTTTTATTGTTTTTATATTTTTCAATATATTTATTTTGTTTGTACAAAATAAAGAAATAATTTTTAACGATACAATAGTCACGATTATTATTTTAAAAAGTTTAAGTTAGGCTTAACATCAACAAAAATTCAACGCGAAGCGACACTCAACGGAGAAAAATTTCAGGATGAGATAGGTTAATATATTTTTTCGTACATAATCGGTTATCCGAACAACCCCAGTCCCCAATTGATTCGGATAAACAACGCTCTACTGTATTTCATTTTTATTTGAGTCATGAAACTGGAACCATTATGTATGTGTTTTTCATTCAGTTGTTTCTAATTGCATATCTGAAAAAAAAAAACATGCATTATTTGATAGTTCTCTTGACACTAAATGAATTTCACATTTGAATGGTTCTGGGATAAATCACTTCCCTGAAAATTTTCTGGGGTTTTTCCGACCCATCCAGATTTGTTTCTGGCTCTTCCACAGCGGTAGGTTGAC